AACGTTACAACGCGTAATTTTCGGAAGTAAACAGCCTCCTGCGACTGCTAACGGTGTTGCGTAATCGTCGTATTACGATAATTTAATCACCATTCCTATCATTTCTCGAAATAAAACTGTAGTACGTTTTATTGGCATCTTATATGATAACCTAATGTGAGGATCGTGATGAATTTGCGTAATGATTTTACGCAAATTTCAGAAAATTCGTAAGCTTATTTCTCCGTTGCAATCGTAAAGAAAACATCGCGCAGGAATGACGCCCTTTTTCTATCAACAACCGAGAGAGAATCAATAAACAGCCCAGTATTAAAGGAGGAGAAAGTCGATTGTCGACTTGTGAATAGAAGGAAGCGTACAAGTTTCGGACCAAATATGGTCATTATAGCATCATCAAATGAGACCCCTGACCTCGCACCTGCAGATTCGTCGCTAAACATCTGATCACCCGATGGGTTTTCTTAGGCTAAATCGATTAAAGGGAGGCGAGAATTCGAGTCGTGGTGGACTACATCGGACGCCATATACAGACCATATATCTCCAGCCACCTGTTCCAGCGGACATCTTTAGAACGTCATAGCCAGTCCGACATATCCCAAGACGCCATATGAAACAGAATCCTTCCAAGGCTCCCTCCTCGCTATTATCATAGAAGATGACGGCTCGAATCGCTTTATAAAAAGAGAGAAAGAGATATGGTTCTCTGTCTTTGGGGAGGGTGAGCCGTGATTACAGCTCACCCTCCCAAAAGACAGAGAACCATATCTCTCTCTCTCTCTCTCTCAAGAGCGAATAGCGGATAGAATGCGAATGGAGCGCGTAGATATTTAGTCGTGTCACCTTAGATGTATATTCCGTATTTCTGTACTCTTACATTAGACTTAATTTTTATTCGTTAACCTGGCTACCTGTCTCTATCAACTTTTTTTTTGGACACTTATCGACTTACTGACCTCCCCACTCGATAATTTAAGACCGTTCTATTTCAATCTGTCAACAGACATAGAGATCGGGTTCCGCCAACCCGTTGCCGATTAAGCGGTCATTATAGAACGCTCCCGGTGGCCCGCGGTTTATCTCACACTACCATAGGTTATACTGTAAATGACAGATACTCAATATACTAAATTATTCTTCCACTTACAGATAAGAAAACTTTAAATATAAATAAAATTTAAATAATTTATTTTTCTTCGAATTTGTCTTTCGTGATTAATAATTGTCATAGTAAACAAACAAACAAAAAAAAACCAAAACTACCTTTAAGAAGACCGCGAAGGACATCTACAAATGACTAACCTTGACAACGTAAAGCGGCAGCACGCGAAATACACGTGGAAGTTACCTTATGTGCAGGCGTACTATTTACGGGCGGAAAAACCAATCACCGCTTCCAAAGAATCCAGAATAGGGAAAGTAATTATCTCGCTAAAAAAATCTTGTTGCTTTCCTCCTGATACTTTATCAGGAGGAAAGCAACAAGATTTTTTTTATTATTAAACCAGCTTGTAGCACAATGTCTTCTTGAATATCACGTACAGTACCTGTAAATACTGGATCAATAAATTATAATGCTGTGGTGCATGTCCTATTTGAAACTGACGAATAAAGTGCAGAGTAAGCCCTCTTTCATATAAATAGCTAAGAGCTTCTATTCACTCTTCTGTATGTAATAATAAATAACGATATAATTCTCTCGCAGAAGCCAAGGAGGTTCTAAATGCAATTTTATTACGGGTTTTTTATTTTTGTTTTTCCTCTTCCTTCTCCAAGGGCACTTGAAAACGCTCTGCAAGACTTTCCACCGCTTCGGTAAACGGCATTCTTACACGAGTCATTAAAAAAAAATGGTTTCGGACCATTTCTTTTTTACGGTCTCGGAACCTATTATTAATCTAGTTACGAGTATTAATATCGACCGTAATTATGAACGGGCTACCATCTATTTCATTACGGTGTCGATAGACTTTTGTCGCGAAATCATGGAATTCCTGGAATTTCCTATTATTGTTAACATCTTTGTAACTTTGTCGTGTGAATACGAATAAATAAATACTTATTTGTAAATTCGTTGTAAATTAATTCAACTGTTTTCGTCCTATTATTGCGTATGCTATATAGAATTTTCTTTTTTTCTGTCTCCATCATTTGTAAAACTTATCGTTATTCTCTCGTGACGGATTGTCGAACCATTTTCCTTAGCGCAGTTACAGAATAGATTTAACTCCCTTCGCATATTTATATTAGTAGGCCTAATAACAAGTAAGCGCGGCGTTGCCCGGGCAAAAAATAAAAACAAACGTTAAGGTTATTTCGTATTTCTAACCGTTCTATTATATTATAGTATTTGGTTTATATTTACGTAAAACTTTATCACATCGAGTGCCCACTCTAACACATTTTAAAAATTCTTTAAATTGTGTACAGTAGAGGAATAAAGAATTTTTAAAATGTATTAGATTGATCACTCGGTGTGATAAACCGTTGCGTAAGATAACCTTTGTACTTATATAAATCAAATACTACAATATAACAAACATTAAAACGAAAACCATGTAGAGAGTTTGGTTATTTCGGTCTACCGTTGTCACATTTATCGCCATACTCGGATGGTATAAAACGGCAGAAATTCAATAGTAAAACTTTCAAAATTTTGGCAACAGATTGTATAAACTGCGTGGGAAGTGTGTTCTGGTAAATATTGCGTTTATGGAAAATTATTAGACTGCAATTAGAAAAAAATTGTAGACCTACAAATTCCCACTGTCGTCACCTATCTATCTGTTCTTCCTTAATGTCGAGAAAGGAGTTAGATAGATGAAAGTGGATAGCAGATGGGGAAAGTTTAGGACAGGATGCCCAGAATAACTATATACGAACTTCCGGTTTAGAACGGAAGTAACGTTACTTTAATTCAAAATTTTTCCCTCAACGGAATTAGAACATTGTGTTAGAAAAGTTAGAGAAAGTTGCAGTCCGACATTATGACAACGTCGCAGTAAATAATCGCCCGTTAGAATTAGTTTGGTTTATTTGGTTACAGCAACGCGATACGCGACACACGAGTGATTTGTTATGGACGATGCATCCCAGAAGAACGTTTACGTAAACTTGGCCTCGATCGAAGTTACTAACGGAAGAAAACCCAGAAAACTCCACTTAGCCAGACCGACTAACGGTGTTCAGTGGTTTTATTTACTGTGTTACTGGAGTACGCTTATATATATAGCATATGTATACAGATTAGCTAATACAGAAGCACAGTATCGTCTGCAATATACATACGATATTGCGTTAATTAATGTTTTTCTTTACTTACCGTTACGTTATTAACAGTATTTTTTCACAGCGATGCAAAACCACATTAAAAACTATGTAAAATATTGACGGTCCGAGTCCAAGACAGGCTTGGAGAACATCCTCTTAATTCCCGCAGGATTGGAAAGTAGAAAAAAAGATTCGTATGGTATAAATTGGTTGGCATCGGACAAACGTCTATCGAAAATAAAGGATTTTTTTCATCCGGGGAGTAACAAAATTAAAGTTTCGCAGATGAAGCAATCTGCGCTTTTGATTTAAAAGAATAAAATTTATTTACTTTTGAACATGGTATATTCGAATTTATTATTATTAAGCGCAGACCCAAACGGTTAGAAGTTGAAAGTTGAAATTTGGTATTCAGTTAGGGTACGCCATGACAATGTACAGTACACTAAGAAGGGATTTTTCGAAATTCCCCCACGCGGTAGAGAGAGAGAGAATTAAGGATTACCCTGAAGAATTCGGCTTCTACTGCAATATTTTATAAGCGGTTTTTTGCGTTTTTGAGGAAAATCAAACATATTTTAAGACCCATGTAAAAATTCTTTAATTAGTCTAAGAGGGGCACATAATTCTTGCACCCGATGAAAACGGGTAAGATCGGCTATATAGCAATAAAAGTTATCTTACCTAAGGATTTATCACACTGCGTGACCAATCTAACAGATTTTAAGAATTCTTTATTCTTCTACACAGTTTAAAGAAATTTTAAAATGTGTTGGATTGGACACTCGGTGCGATAAACTCTTACGTAACATAACCTTTGTAAATATAAATAAAATACTATAATATAATATAGTAGAAGGGTTAGAAGTACGAAATAATCTAATAATCTTAATCTCCGCCGTTGTTACTTTTTGCCCGAGCAACGTCGGGATCATCTGCTAGTATTATATAAGATTATTATGTAATATAGTAATATATACATTTTTGGGTTTACAAAACTTAAAAATTCCCGAATTCCGGTCCCGGAAATAATTGTTTGTCGTTTGCGAGAAATCCGAAATCCGGTAATTGAGAAACTTTAATCGATACGGAAGATCGTCCCAGGAAGATATTCGGCGGATCATCACTAGTAGCCACGAGTGACGTGCCAGATGGCGATAGAAGGTGGCATCTACTAGTTTTCATTGGCACTCGTTGTTTCGTTCCGTAGTCTTTCTCTTTCGTCGCTCTCCACTCCGCATCCGCGCGTTAAGATGTCGGCAGTCTCGGGCAGAGGCTAACTTTGCGATAAATATAACTAGTTTTAAGTTAGTTACCTTAAATCTAATTTCTTAGTAACTTAAAATTAACTTATAGCTAAGTTAGGTTTAAGCTTTTCTTTAGCCGTTTCTCCTGGTTATTTCAGTTATGTTAATCTATAGGGATTGTTATTCTTATAAGAAATGTTAGCTTAGGTTCTGTAATTATTTTAGTATTAGATTTAAGCTTTCACTCTAGTTTTAATCCTTACTCTGCCTAGGTTTTATGTAGCTGCACTACTTATTGGTGTAAGATACAACTCAGTTTTTCTTTTAGACGATCTCAGAGCCAACATTAATCGTAGAGGGAGTAGAAAGATGAACGCAAGATATTATTTTTGGTTCTCTCCTTTCTAACATTTAATCGCAACATAAAATAGCTTACGGCTAAAAATAGAATAATTAAACACTAATTAATATTATTATTCTTCTAGGGAAAGAATGAAGAAATCTTTGATAGATCGTTACTTGTCTTTCTGTTTTACTCAAATTGGATATTTCGTCGGAAAATATCCTCAATTTTGTGTCGCAGTCTCCTTTTTGGTCTTCTTGATCATGGGAAGTGGATTTGTCAATTATTCTATAGTCAGAGACATAGAGTATCTCTTCGCTCCAATCGACGGAAGGGCCAAAAATGAAAGACAATCCATCAACACTCTGTTTTCTAGCGAAGAAACGACCCAAGACGACATGTTAAGGATCACCTTTTTCAATAATTTAGTAAATGTCATTGTTGTGGCGAAAAACAATGGATTCTTGATGGACGATGCTCCCGTGAAAGATTTAGTTCAGATAGACGCCATCGTCCGCAATGTTAGCATCTTCTACAATAACAAGTTTCTTCATTTCCGAGACGTCTGCGTTAAGAACGAGCGTAACAAATGCTCCGAAAATTCTGGTGCCGTCCTGAAAAATAAGTTGCGAAACCCCGATAAAATTTTAATGAGGTAAGTTTTACTCTCGACCAAGAAAATGTTTGCGAGTTTTGAAAAATAGAAAATAAAAATGTAAATTGATAGTGTAGGTTTCGTGTTATGAATAAAATTACTTAATCAAGGAACATCAAAAAATTCACATCTGGTGTTTAAAACTATAGGCCTATATATTCCAAATATAATATTTAGTATATTATATAGTATTAATCGGTACAATAAATTAAGTAAAGGATTTGAAATGTTGAATCAGCATTTCATCTTGTCGCAAAGAGTCACACATCCATATTGTATAGTATTACACTACTCGCCGCTTTAAATGAAAGACGAGTACCAACTGCTTATTTCTATGCAAGCTACCTCCGTCTGCTCTTCGAGCGTGTGTTACGTGCACAAGTGCACTTTGCCCCGAGTAAATTAATTGTTTAGCGTTCCCGATCTGTTTGATTTGACACCCGAATTAAAAAATAAAAAATAAATGCACGAAAGTATTACATAGGTCTACATCTAATATTCAGACCGCCCTTTAAGTCCAATTGCCGAGACACCCATATCTTTCCGTTGCACTCTTAGTGGCAACGTCGCAAAGCGCGAGACGTCTGGAAACAAGAATAATTTAACCGATAGTGGACGGCCACGCATATTCTCACCAAGGGATGATAAAATTATCTTCTGAGTCGCAAAAACATAGATAATTTGTTTAGTGTTCTTTGTTTGTAATGTTCCTTTTGTGTATCGTATTAAAATATACGTCATTATATACCATAAGAAGTTCCTCGTATTCTTTCTTAAACTGTGTTCCGTATACACTTCTTAACGCCCAGCCCAGCCATCTTTAGACATCCACATTAATATTTTACTTAATTTGTTTATTAACAGAAAAACTGAAATCCAGTCCTATAAATTTCAGTTCAAGGTAATACAAGTATAAATAAGATGATTAATGACGCATTAAAAAAGAAGAAATAAATACAGTGGTACCTCAGGATACGAACGCCCCTACATACGAAATTTTCAGGATACGACATGAAATTCGAACATGTTTTTGCTCCACGATACGAACAAAAACTCACCATACGACGTTACATTAATTCGCATTTTTCATTTGTTTTCCTTACTACAGTTATTTTTTTTAATGTATTACTTGGCTTTAATTTGAGTATGTTTTTCGCGTTGGAACGAATTATTTGGTTTAACATGTAACGTATGGGAAAAGTTGATTCACCTTACGACATTTTCATGATACGATCTCAGTTTCGGAACGGATTAATTTCGTATCCTGAGGTACAGTACCACTGTATTGGGAAATACAATTTACTGAGATTTGTATTTGATAACAACTACTTTCGAGATAGCGAAGAGTGACAAATCTTGTTTTAAAATGCGTGGCTGAAATCCAAATGCATCTCCGCCCGTGTTGAAGTCACGACATCTAACAACAGTTTCGTACCGATTCGAATTCATTGTGACATTCGTAAAATAAAGCCTCATAATGCAATTGTGTGTAATTTGCATTTCAAATCATTACCGAAGGAGCATACCTTTTATTCTTCGTAACACATTCGAGTAACGGCTTTCGTCCATTTTTCAGCCCAGCAGTTGGTACTGGTAACTGGCTAATAAAAACGACTCTCGCCTGTAAATATGGCGTTTGTACTATTTGGCCTACGTCAATCTTGTTTGCTTCATTTTTTTGCGTTATTAACGATGGCCTTACGCGCAAAAATCCCCGTTCCACACAGCCTTTTAGGAACACCCCCGTTGGTGTTTTTCACTCCGTCAATTGCCGAGTTTTTCACTCCGTCAATTCTACAATCAAAACTTTTTTAGAAATAAATCGTCACCAGAGGGATAAGACCAAATCTACATTTAACAGCGCATTTATCAAGTGGATATAAAGGACTGAAATTCCCTAACTGGAAAGGATGCAAGTTTAAGACGTCTGTAAGACCGCCAGTTCCAATTCTTTACTTTTTAATGTTTTAATTGGATTTTTTTGTGTGTTTTTAAAGGAATGTTTTAGCCAGATGACCTAGTAGCCTACAAAGAAAGGTCCGGTCGTCGATGGTGTTCTGGAACACATGATCAGAAGAAATGGTGGTTTCAAAAAGAAATTTTGAGCAGACTGTGTCTTTTTTGATTAAAAAATAAATTATCATAATACTAATTGTTGAACAAATATTATCGTCTTTGAGCTGACACGTCGTTCGCGTTACGTCGTGATTCTAACGGTTCGTCTTTTTTCCCGCCTGCCCCGAATTCCTGCGCACGACATCGGACTTGCCCAAATCACGACAACGTGGGGGACGGGCACCACATTAATAACGCATCTCTATTTTGTGCGCTATGTTTCGAGTATTCTATTTTATTTATATAATTTAGAAAAATATTTAAAAATTAATGTATTAAACAACTTAATTTATTATCTACTAGCAGACCACGCCACTAAAATAGTATAATAGAAGCCAAGTTCTTCACGGTAAGCCTTAATCCTGCCTCTATCCCCCGCGGGGAGAATATCGAAAAATTCCTTCTTAGTGTACAGTACATTCTGTTGACGTACCCGATTAAAATAATATAATAGAAGCCAAGTTCTTCACGGTAAGCCTTAATGCTAACCATCTCCCTTCAGTGGGGGGGAATTTCGACACGTATATTATATAAAAACACGTGCGTATTCGAATGCAGCGTTGTGTCAAAATTTCAAAGGAATCGGTAGGAACAAACGAACATTACATTTTTATTTATATAAATAGATAGATGATGATCCGCTTTAGTTCATTTTCACAAAAAAGCGTAATGCCTGGCAGAAAAGCAAACTTAGGGCGTCGTACTCGTAGCGCCATCTGTTGGACATAAAAGTCTTAACCTAGATGATATCTTTTAATTTATACGAATGTTTAACGGAATAATATACAGCCTATGTCCACCCTGAGGTTCCGTTCTAAATATTGGTGAAAGAATTTTTTGAAATCGGACGAGTAGTTTCGGAGATTACCCGCTACATCCAAACTTACTTACAAACATTACCTCTTTATAATATTAGTATAGATTAAAGGTCTTACTTTATCTCCTATTTTGTGTTTTCCTTCGTAATTTTAGACGTTAACATTCGAATTTCAGTTTTAAGATCTTACTTTTCTCATTTTCCATTATAATTTCTTCTTTATAGAGCTTCTTAATAATTGCTGTTGGATCTCTTTCTAACTTTCAATAACTTCTTTTTTCTATTTTATCTATTGATTATGGACCAATACTAGTTGTTTTGTTTTATCTGCTCGAATTATCAATAAATCATTATTTATTAGAAACTTATTAACTCTTTTATCATCTAAATAGTCATACTTTTAATTTTGTGTTAAATATGCACCTCATTTTTAACGTACTTAAATTTTTAATTTTAACATCTTGAAATAAATGTTCTTCTATCTCTGTTGCTACTTCCACTGCCGGTTTATTAATTAGATTACAAAAATTTTACATTTAAAACTGTTGCAGAAATACTTTTGTTTATAGAAGGTAATTGTTTTTATTTTTCACACCAAGGTATCCAATAGAAAGAAGCGATTTCGGGGTAGAAACGTACCCAATACATTTAGGAGGCGTGTCAACCAACGGAAGTGGATATATATTGAATTTCAAAGCGTTTCGTATGTTCTATTTCATGGATTTCGGGACGGAAGAAAAGACCAGGATAGCCGTAAAATGGGAAGAAGCGGTAATTGATACGTTGTCTCGAGTTAAATTTCGACACATCGACGTTATGATGGCGAGTTCTCGCTCTTTCGACGCCGGAGCGACCGTTAACTCGAAATTGAGTATGCCGCTTATGGCTATATCCGGACCTATCATGATTTTGTTCTCGATGGCAAGTTGTATGACGTTGGACATAGTCAGCAGTAAACCACTAGTCGGATTGGCCGGACTCGTCAGCCCTTTAGTAGCTACTGCAGCTGCTTTCGGTTTGCTGCTACATTGCGGAATGGAATACGTCGATACGAACATAGCGGTTGCCTTCTTATTGATAGGTGAGTTTCGTTTCCAAAATTTATCGAAAATTTTAAATCTAACGATATTTGGTTGGTAACACGTATTTTACGACGAGAGAGATGATGCTTTTGAAAGTAAAAAAATATTTTAGTGTTTACGTTATTAAAATAGACCTAAATGTTAATTTTTTCTCTATTTTGCGAGTCTCCTAATTGATGAAAATGTGTGGATTTATTAAAAAATATTATTTATTGCCCGGATGAATTAGGTGGTGATTTTATTTTCTCTTCTCAATCTTCTGATTTTTGAATTATTTTTTTCAATCGTCATTACTTCTTTCGATATTAATTTACAAACGAGCAATTATTTATTGCCGGGTTGCAACTTTTAATCATCTTTTAATTTTAAAAACATCACTCGATTTCCGGTCCGGCCGGAAGTTCATATATAGTTAGTTAATCGGGACTTCCAGCCCTAAGCCTTCATCTATCAAACTCTATTCCCGACGTTAAAGGACAGACAGCCAAACGGATGACAACGGGAATATATATATTGCAAAGCGCTATCAGTCATTTTGCAATGAATAGCTGTACTTGCGAAATCTTTCTCTTAAATTTTTCAAGTTTCTTTCCTACAGAATTTAGAGGTTTATATACAATACACTATTGCTATTAACACAATATGGAAGTTAGTAAGCTCGGAACAAGAAGGTTCGGGAACGTTCCTTCTGGTCAGGGATGTATTGCAATCCTAGGCAATGCTTGTTAGTAACAATTTTACACGAATTATGGAAAACTGCTCTATTGGAGATTCAATCTATTTTAATAATTTCACTTCGCTGTACGTATTTTCTCGATATTCTTTGTGTGTTACGTCTTATATTTTGAGATTATTCAAATTTGAATGTTAGTGCAAAAAACTCTAACTCTAACAGAACAGCAGAGCTTGGAATGATTTCTTTTAAGGAAAGGAAACATTTTTTTCCTTTATACAAATAACTTCTCTTAATAATATTGCTAAACATTGAGTGCGAACCGAAAATTTGTTTCTTGCCAAGAAAATCGAAATCTTTTGAGAAACGTTAGAAACGTGGCGAATTTCTATCGTTCTGTGTCACGTTTTCTCCGATTATTTCTTTCGAAATTCACAGATAAAGATAAAGATTTTTACAGGCATAGGCATGGACGATTCCTTCGTCTTGGTGGCTTCTTGGAGACGAACGAACAAAGAAGATAGCGTGAAAAAAAGGATGAGCGAAGCCTTTTCCGAAGCTGGAGTATCCATCTCCATAACTTCCTTCACCAACTTGGTCTGTTTCTGCGTAGGACTCGTTTCGCCTTACAAAACTGTTCGCATCTTCTGCACGTACAGTGCTGTGTCTGTGTTGTTCGATCTCATCTACCAAATCTTCTTCTTCGGAGCTCTTTTGGCACTCGACGGTTACAGAGAGCAACATCGCCTACATTCGTTTCTTTGTTATCCCGTCAAACGAAAAGATATCGGTAAGTGAATATTTGATAGGAATTCTCGCGTGATAATATTATGATTGGCAATAATATAAACACGTCTAGTCTAATCTATTCTTAAAGGGAGATTAACGGCCAACTAACAGAGCATCCAACATTTCCCCCTTCCTAACTTACAAACCCGGCACATCCACGATATTTTTAGAATTTTACAGTTGTACTTTAAGTTGTAACTATAATTAATCCGGAATTGGTAGAAATTCGAACGTTTTCTTGCATAGATTTTTGGGTTGGTGCGCAATCAGTCGTAAGACATCTTTAGAATCAGTCGTTAGATATCTTTCAAACAGTAATTAATTGGTGTTTTTCTTTTCTGTTTTTAAGGATTTTACCATTTTAAGACCAATTTTTCCAATTGAAATTAATTGAATCATTTATATCTGAATTATATTTTGAATGTCAATCTCGTTTTGTTTACTTTATCGACGAGATGAATAAACCTGCTTTATTAATTAATTTTTTATGATATTTGTATTTTTGTATTTAGCTCACCTTTCCAAGTGCTTTTTAATTATTAATAATTTTAAGATTTTGTTTTTAACGAAAACTTTATAAAAACTTATTATTTAAGTTACTTAAGTATTTGTAAATATTTTTCTACATTTTTCAATACTAGTCTTAAAAGCTTTACACAGTTCTAACCTATAAGCTTTGTAAAAGGAACCTTCTACCGAACGGAAAAAATCTCGGCATAGAACGATTTTCTGTGTAAAATTCTATTATAAGCGGAGACTAAAGATCATTTGACAACCGATAGAATTAAATGTAAAGTGAAATCTTCAACGTAACGGCAGTTGAAGTTTAAATTTTAACGGGATGCGAGTGTTTTTTAAATTAAAAATTTAAAAAAATCACGTCGCTTTCGGTCTGGACGGTTGACGGAAAGTTCGTGTATAGTTCACTGGTATCTCCTAAACTTTCCATATTTGGTATGGATTTTGTGATGTCTTGCCTCTGTACTGCACATCGTACCTCTCCCGATAACAATCGAGCCGTGCCGGTCCTCTGTCTGGAGAAAATTTTGGAACTGAATTCACGTGACTTCAGACCAAATCGGAAGTTGGTGTATCGGGCCCTCCTGTCTCTAAACTTTTCATTTCTGGTCTGGACTTTTATGTATCTAACTCCGTTCTTGAGATTAATATACTGTATACATATATGTATTTAGCTCACCTTTCCAAGGTCTACACGACTTCGGCGATAAAAAGTTACTTGGGTGTACTGTAACTCTTCAATTTGCATATTTCGCGTGTTTTGTATATTAAATAATTACTTACAATATTTTACTTTCAGAAAATGAAACGTCCGAAATCGAAAAAGGCAAGACGGAATCTGACAAAAGTGACGTGGCCATGAAATACGTCTCCGAAAAACTGGGAAATCTTCTCTGTATGAAAATAGTAAAATTGGTGGTAATAATCATGTTTTGTAGTATTGTTGCCGGAAGCGTGTACAATATGAGAAATATGAAACAAGGGCTCGAATTCGTGGATGCATTTCCCTATTCCTCTTACGTTACGAAATTTATTAAGGGGCACTATCGATATTTCACAGACTATCCGCACCCGATACAAATAGTTTTCAATCGCAGTTTGGACTATTCTAATTCTAATGTACAGGAAGACGTAGAGAAAATTTTACAAACGTTCGAGAATGCTCCTTACGTCGGATCCGAGCTCTCTATATGTTGGATACGAGAATATCTTTCTTTCATTCGCAATGACGAACTAAACTATTTGATGAAAGATTTTAACACCAGCGATTCTCGAGGATTCGTAGAAGGACTGAAACGGGTATTCTTGAGAATAAAACCTTTCTCTCCTTTCCGAAAAGACCTAGTGTGGAATAAAGAACGAAACCAAATTCTAGCCTCTAGGTGTTTTGTGATTTCAAAAGACGTCAGAAGTGGAAGCGATGAAAAATTTATGTTGGAAGATGTGCGTCGTATCGCGGACGGTAGCAAACACCGGGTATTTGTCTATAATTTCTGGTTCATCATATACGATCAATATTTAAACGTGCTGGCCATGTGTGTGCAAAACGTGGGTGTCGCCTTAGGTATGGTGAGTTTAATACTCCTGATTCTAATACAAGACGTTCGAATTACCGTCTGCGTGACCCTGAACGTACTTTGTATTTTGATACAAACTGTGGGCTACATGAACTGCTGGAAGGTGAAATTAGATCTGGTCTCGGTCATGACATTAGTAATGAGTGCGGGGTTCAGCGTAGACTTTTCGGCTCACGTGGCTTACGCGTACAAGTGTTGCCAGGAGGAGTCTTCCGAAAAAAAGATCAAAGCTTCTCTGTATGCTGCGGGTTATCCGGTAATACAAGGATGTCTGTCTACCATTTTGGGTATAGTACCCTTGGCATTTGGACCGTCGTATTTATTTCTTTTATTTTTTAAGCAAATCTTACTGGTTATGATTTTTGCCGCTTTGAACGGATTGATTCTCTTGCCAGTGTTGTTGAGTATCGCAGATTCTGTTCGTATTCCCTGGAAAAAACAGATAATTGTCGACTCCTCCGTTGAAAATAGACCTATCTAAAATATAGATATTGGAATAATTTTCGGAATTGATACGAGTAATCACTTGTTTCAAGCAATCGAATTATTATATTACTGGTTTTTTCAAATAACGTCGATGAGTTATTGTCGTTAAGTTAATAATTATATTTTGAACATTGTGGCTTCTATTTATTTTTGCTTAGAACTGCGTCTATTTATGATGTTTTATATGACCACGCGGAAGATATTGTACTTAATGTAATTAGGCATGTTTGAATATAAATCTATTACGTTATATCTAGATAATTTAAACAGTTATTGGATTCTATTTCTTTTTCAAAGTTAGTTTGATCACGCTAGGCCTAAGTATTGTTTGTAGTTAAAACTTGGATTGTTATTATTAAAACTTTCATTATATATTATTAAAGAATTTTCTACACGTCTTAACAGGAAAATACAGTAATACCACTTATTTTAGAAATCTGTACACCTATCATACTTATACTTTGGCTAATTTAAGTTCAACAGCAGACCTCGTTGCAATACCGTTTATCTCTCTATACGCTGTATTATTTATTATCTATACACAAAGAAATCATCTAATACAAATTTTATCCACTCGGTAACTTACGTTGTTTTTCTTTAACATATTTATTATATGTACGTAAGCCTTTTGGCAGGATAAAAATATACAGAATCATTAGTTTGGATATTTTTCATAATTTAAATTTTATTTGTGTTTATAGTTTTCTATAAACAAAAGTTTAACAGAATCGTACCGTAACGAAACCGGATGCGCCCTCATTATTATCCTCCGAAATGGGAATCGTTATTACCATTTTTCTGACGTTCCGCAAATTTTATTAGAAATGTCACGAGATTTTCTCGCGAATCGTTTTGGGTTTTATGGGAATTTGGATTATAAATGTGTTTTTACTACACGAAACGTTCGATCGAGAGATATAAGAATCCAACCAAGTTTGGCTATTTTTAAAAATTGAAAAATGTTCTATGGTGAAGACGTTTGGCGGAAATTACTGTATTTGTAGAATTCATAATTTTCTCCTTTTTCGAGAATGACAGAGGACGTAATAAGCATTTTTATCACTGGGCGACGCGATTGAGAAAATGTCTTTGCCAGAGTCGATTTAAGAATTTCAATTAAAATATAGCTACAAAATTATGTCGATGAATACAACACTTTCGATATTTTGTAGCGTAATTGAATTTCATATATTTAATAAAATGTGTAAAGTTAATTTTGAATTTTGTCTCTCGATCCTTTATTTTTACGAATTAAACCGTTCGAGGATTATTTATTATACTGTAATAAATTTACGTCCATTTACAATTTACGTCTTTTACTCCAAAGACCGTCTCGATGTATTCGTGATTGTATTGAATAGTACAGTAGAGCGTCGTTTATCCGAATCAATTGGGGAATGGGGTTGTTCGGATAACTTATTTTTCGGATAACCGATTGTGTAGGAAAAAATATATTAACCTATCCCGTATTGAAATTTTTCTCCGTTGCGTATCGCTTCGCGTTGAATTTTCGTCGATATTAAGCCTAATGTATACTTTTTAAAATAATAATCGTGGCTATTGTATCGTTAAAAATTATTTCTTTATTTCTTACAAACAAAATAAATATATTGAAAAATATAAAAACCAAATAAAATATACTTTACAAGTTGATCTACTATCAAAAACGTTCGATTCAACAGGACACACAGTCCTCAGAAAAACATCACACAATAGTGCCAGTGCTGCCAGCTAAAACACACACGCCAACAAAAAAAATATTGGAGTAGCCCAAGATATAGCCAAAGATTGCAGCGCCACAGCACTAGCGAAAATTTAAATTTGCCGACTGGAATGCTTTCGGATAACCGACTTTCGGATAAACGACGCTCTACTGTAATTAATATTTAAAAAATAAACAAAAATGAGGAAAACAAGAAAGATGATTTTTATTACTTAATTAATATCACTCGACCTTAATACCAAACGAAAGTTTTCAGATTATTTACCCATTTCATATTTTATTGTAAATTGGGATCTGTGGCATATAACGTCATTCGAACAGCAACAACCCATTGATATCGGCGCGAGTAAGCTGCGCGCGGAGAAAAGTATTACAGCAATATTTTTCGAATAATGTTCCAAGTAACGTAAGAATTAATTATTAATAAACTAGCAGATAGGCCCGACGTTGCTCGGGTAAAAAGTAACAATAACGAAGATTATTACTTTATAGTCAATCTTACCCGTTTTCGCAGAATGCAACAATTAGGTTTCCAGAGTAATTTGAGAATTTTTAGATGAGTCTAAAAATATGTTCGATTTCCCGCAAAAACGCATAAACACCGCATCTGCGCCTGTAAATCTTGCACGTCGCTTTCTCTTAACACTTCCATTCTTAACACTTCCATTGTTAACACTTCCCTTGTTACTTAACACTTTCATTGTTACTTAACACTTCCATTGTTAACACTTCCATTGTTGAAGCCTTAATTCTGTCCTTCTCCTCCGAGGGGGGAGTTTCGAAAAATTTCTTCTTAGTGTGCGTTCTCCTGATGTACCCTGTGTACCAAATTTCAACTTTTAACTCCTAACCGTTTGGGCTCTGAGCTGATTATTATTATCAACCCGTCTCGATTATATATATAGATTAACCAGCAATTATTTATTGTGACGCGATCACAACGCTCGGCTGCAATTTTAATCATATTTTTAATTAATTTCAATTAAAATATATGCTCTCGCCTCAAATTAGTAGTGGCTCGCCCCCGTACATCATACTTTTCCCTTAATAATAGAGTCATGCCGATCGTCTATCTAACATCTTTCGGGAAAATATTTGAATCGAAATAAAGTGACTTCCGATTTATATCGGAAGTTCGTATATAGTTAATCGGAGGCCTCCTGTCCCCGAGGTTTCCGTATCTTGTCTCGAATTTCATCCGTCTAACTCCATTCTCGAGATTAAGGAAAGACAGACAGACGACAGTGGCAATTTATAGGTCTAGAAGTTTTCCAAATTGCAGCCCAATAAACCGTAATAATAAGATTGCAGTTATTTTCGCTAATACAAAAATAAACCTTCCAGACTAACCGCCGAACATTAAAATATCCGTCCGTCCGTGGGCTTTTTATATAAGTCGGATCTAAAATAATAACAGATAAAGCTAAAATTGGTAATTATCAGGAATCATTTTTTCCGAAAACCAGAAATATTTGTCGAGGGTCGAGTAAATGCATCGCTATTTTCTAAATTAACTCCAATAGTTTTTAATTAAGTTTAAAACGACGGCTAAAATAATTCTCTCTGGATTAATAATTGAATAAATTTGCGAAAAAAAAACTTTTCTCAATCAGAAGAATGAAACATTGGTTTCCAGTGAGTGAAATACTTGAAAAGTTCAAAATAATCTGTATCGATACAGTAGAGAAAATAGTGACATTGGCCTTTCTGTCATTATTGTAATTATTTCTGTCATGTATGTTTAAGTAATAGGCTGTAGGCCTACTAAGAAGATCGAAATGCGCTTGTTCCCACTATGTATACAGTGGTAGATACCGAAATATATCAATAAAAACTGTGATGGTATACACTATTATATACAATAATGAAGTGTTTAATATAGTGAAATAAGTCTCAAAAACAAAAACGAATTCGATAGAAACAGAAATATCAAACTGCTTAGTCCTATAATAAGTTTATTAGGGCGTCGAATTAGATAAATTTTTTTCCGCTTATAAAACATACTTAAGAAAGTAAGTAACCGAGTTGTAATCGGCGATTCTATGCGTAATGATGTCGGTTTCTTTTGTGTCGAGTATCGCTACACAAAAGATGCCACCGCAGGACCTCGTTTTGTTATTCCCTTTGTTTCTTCGCTTCCCTACGTACCGCGTTACTAACTCTACTTTTTCGAAACTACCCGTAGACGAGGAATGAGCTTAGTTAAAATCAATCTGTTGAATTTTCCTACCACATTACTAATTTGTGTAAATAAATATAAAAATAATATCGTAAAAAATATTTAAAATGCTTCAAACATTACCATATAAACCTTACCATTGCTAATTATATCTCGATGTAAAAATTAAAAATTTAAGCTATTAAAGAAAATGAAAAAACCATCTCAAAAAATATGTAAAAAAGTTCAATGTTCGACCCATAGGCAAACTTTACGCTGCAAATACAGAACTCGTTAGTTGAGACGAAAGGTAAAAGCGCACTCCTAAATAAAACTTTGATCGTTATCGGAGGAGACGTTTCTCTTCAGTGCATCGTTCAAGCGCAGCCAAAAGAGAGGAGCAGAATCTTCGGCTTGGTGCCACTCGATGTACTTTCTGGTCTTCATCAGGTAGCGCAGCTTCTTGCTGACGATTTCGTCCGGGATGGTGCCGTATTTCAGCAATACCAGAGAATTGTTGGTTTCGAACAGTCGGTGCTGCGCCAGTTTCATTTCGAATTTGCAAAACTCGCTGCGTACGAAGTTTTGGGAAAGAACGAAAACCACTTTTCTGGAATTGTCGATGCTGTGCACGATGTTGTCGGTTATGTCGTTGCCGGCCAGGAAGTCCCTCTGGTCTATGCACACGCGCAGGCCGAAGTCGTCCTCTATCTTTACCACTAGCTTCTTGGCAAATTCTATATCTTTGAAACTGTACGAAATGAAGACGTCGTATAAATAACTGTCGGGATTCTTCGTCTCATCGTTATTAGAAATTCTCAAGCGAACGTAGAATACGAAATATCTGACATACCAGCGATACTTGTAGCCCGCGAACGAAAACAAAAAGAGGAGAAATGTTAAAGCCAGCGCAGGAATACCCACGTGGACCAAGTAGTTAACGGGAACGACGACGCACAGATCCAGTCGATAGGTGGCGTTTATCAATAAAATGCGATCCTGACTTTCTTTGGTAAAACTGCAAAGGTATTTGTCGTATTCCGAGACGGGGGCGTCTTTTCGCACCCAGTCGATCATCGAAGGCAAATGACAGGAATTGCAGTCGAAAGGATTTTCGTACAGCTGCACTCTTCGCACGTGTTTGACGTCGCGGATCATCGACTGTTCCAACACGGCCACTAAGTTGTCGATCAGACTCAAATTTCGCAGACGGGGCAGAGCGGCGAAGGTGTCCGATTTCCAGAACGTCAGTTTGTTACCACTCAGATCGATGCGTCGTAATTGCTTTAAATTTCGGAAAATACCGGAAGGAAGTTGTTTTATCAGGTTTCCGGAAAGATGCAAAACTCTGAGTCGGCGAAGAGAACGAAAAAGTGACTCTCCGACCGACTCCACGCGGTTCTCGTTTAAAATCAAAGTAGTCAAGTTTTTTAAATCCCGGAAAATTCCAACGTCTAACTTCATAATGACGTTCGAGGACAAGTCCAGGGTAGTTAACCCGGTCAATCCCCGAAAAGCCCCGGAATAGATCTTCCCGATTTTGCATTGTCTCAGTTTTAGAACCAAGGGGAAAAAACGAGCGAAGGAATCGTCCGGAAGATACTGAAGGGGAGTTCCTTGCAGATTCAGAACAGACTTCAAGGGGGTTGTCCGAGCAACGTCTTTGGGTAATAAAGCAAAAAAATTGCCGGGCGGAGACACGTGGTCGAAATTCAAGAAGAAGAGACGAGGCATGGAAAAGATGGCCGACGGGAAACCCGAAAGGGGGTTTCCCGCCAAGTTTAAATGCGTCAAGTTGGGAAGGACGAGGAAGGCCTCGGACTCGATCCAGCCGATTTTGTTGTAAGGAAAACGCAAGACGCGCAAGGTGGTAAAACGGGGAAAGTTACCGTTACGTAAGGAAGTGAACCCGCAAGAATCGCAGCTGATGCTCCGCACGTCGATGGAGTCGAATTCTGGGGGAAAGGGCAAAGGTAGCGCTTTCACGTCTTCGCTTAAGGTGAAAGTAGCTTTTTCGATTGTTGCCACCGACAGATAAGGATTCAGCATCTTCGTCCACAGAGTTAGCGAGTGACTCACTTCGGAACCGTCCAGAGTTTGCAAGAACAAAGTCGGATCTATGACGACTCGGTGCGGACAGGGAACCGCGTTCTCACCCAATTCCGACAGATCGAGAGAGGGAGAGACCAAGTGACTGAAGACGCTGGACGTATAATTCCAAAAAGATATCTTGATGTCGTATTCTTTCAACATCCCTTTCTTTATCTCTTCTATGCATAAAGGTCGAGCGTTCAAAGGTGGCTCTAAATTGTCCACGTGTTTTACGCTCTTTAATCGCGCGAAGTGGAGAAATAGGGGATGCTCTTCGCTACTGCGCTTCCGCTCTTCCGGACGCAACCGAAAAACTAAACGAACGACGAACCACTTGGTGCGGGTGTGGAATATCGAACGACAGTGGAAGCGATAATGATAGTACAAACTGCAGAAAACGAGAACGGTTCCGTTTTCCTTCTTCAGCCATTTGCAGGTTTCCAGTTTATGTTTGCCCATCGACGTGTCCATGGAACGGCACCAATCTTCCGAACCTTCTTGCCCGGCCGTTTTCCGGAAGCTCCAAGTTAACGTCGTCAGGACCACCTAGAAACGAGAACGAACGAATTGTAACGAATGTTGGAAAAGATAAGATTCTGAAAAACTTTTTGCTGTATATTTTACGCACGACTGTGCAGAAATGAAATCTCACCGTAGGTTAATCGGCAGAAATTTCATTTCTGCGCAATTTCTTTTGCGCATTCATATAGAGGAGGTGCAGTCACGTGATATAACGTCATCGCCCCGCCCACCAAAACAATCGTCCGCCATATTGGTTGCTTATTTGACGTTTGCTGACTCGTTCGCTTATTATGTCAACGTGGAAGAAAGGCATCTTACCTGTCTATGTAGCCGATTTAAAATATAATGATTTGATAAAATAAAAAGAAAAAATTTTTTTTATTGGATGGGATCCATACGAAATGAAACCAACGGATCTTTCATCTAACGATTTAACCACGTGGCCCACTATAGAACATGGAGACATAGTATATTATTTAGTTTTAACAACTAACGCTATCACACTAGATCAGATGAAGGCATACAAATCACTCCATGCTCATAATTATTAGACAATCGGATTTATTCATCGAGAAATTTTATCAAGATAAATCGTAATGATTTAATTTTGTTTGTAGGAAAGGTACAGTACGTATCTTCATTTCAGACTTTCCATTTCTCATAACATAAACTGCGTTATATAAAGACGAATTTAATTTTATATTTAGTCACATTTTAAGTTGATTAATTTGTATTTATAATTACCATCAAATTTTTTCTTTTGTCCCCATGGTTTTGTGTTGCCCGAGTCTAACAACCTATTACAGTAGAGCGTCGTTTATCCGAATCAATTGGGGACTGGGGTTTTTCGGATAACCGATTATGTACGAAAAAATATATTAATTTATCCCGTGTTGAAATTTTTATCCGTTGCGTGTCGCTTTGCGTTGAATTTTCGTCGATGTTAAGCCTAACTATTTTTTTATTTTGCACAAACAAAATAAATATATTGAAAAATATAAAAACAATAAAAAATTATACTTCAGAAGTTAATTTAGAATCAAAAACGTAAAATATTTGAGTAGCCGAAGACATAGCCAAAGATTACAGCGCCACAGCAATGGCGAAAATTTAAATTTGTCGACTGGAATTCCTTCGGACAACCGACGTTTCGCATAACCGACCTTCGGATAAACGACGCTCTACTGTATTAAGATTAAATTAACTAGCCTAATAAACCCTCCTATTTATTATTGCCATATTTATCATATCAAGGACTGACTGGAGCAGAATAGACTAAATTTTTACAAAAAAATCGCCTTTAATTAACCACAATCAAATTTTTAGTAGAATGCATTTCAAGCTTCTCATCGGCATATTTCAGGCACAAAGACCCACATCAGCCTAATACATCCACACAGAGATGCTTAAAATGCATTCTACTAAAAATTTGATTGTGGTTAATTAAAGGCTATTTTTTTTGTAAAAGTTTAGTCTATTTTCCTCTAATCAGTCCTTGAATTGATAAATGTGGCTATAATAAATTGGAGGTTTATTAGGCTAATTAGTTTAATCTTAATTTATGTTGTGGGTTAGAAGTGTGATTTAATAACCTATTATTGTTTAAATATATTATTAGAAGTAAATAGCACAGTTTCTTACATTGTTTTTGTACACAGGTTAATTAATCACTCACAAAATCTACGGCAGCCAGCTTCAGTAGTTTGGGTTTTAGCTAAGGAAAATGAAGAGGTGATAACTGGGCATTGCAATTGCGTGGCTGGACAATCTTCTTCCCGCTCTCGTGTTGGTGTTATTCTTTTTGCCAATGCAGAAGGAATTAAAATAAAGATCTCCCAGACATGTACTGACCGATCAATAATTGGATAGTGCCACACGTAAAATATTGTGGTTACAAACCACTACAAAAAATAAACTTTACGTCAGCTGCAACTGCGAGCAAACGGCGATGCCTTGAAGAAAAGTATATACAAAAACCTTATTTGTCGAGTGATAAAACTTGGAATACTTGTGTAAACAAACCTAGTAAGAGAGAATTTGAACAGTTTTTTAAAAAATTTCTGTTCATAATCCAACTGCTGCAATTTTGTCAGTGGTGATGCCAGGTTACTCTAATTCTTTTACAAACCGTGTCAATTCATCTTTCCATAAGAACCCACTTACAACTCTATTTGATGCGAAAAAAGCTGCCTTACCCTGGGATCAGCTGTTAAATCACTGCAGGACAGTATTTGAAACTTTTCATCTGACAGATGAAGAAATTGATTTTATTAAAGAAAACACACTAGCACAGAGTAGAAGCAAGCTGTGGTCTTCTTTAGATCAGATTAGAATAACTGTTTGTTATGAAAAGTGTGTGTAGAGCAGATATAGAGACTCCACCAGTTTCCACTGTATTTTACCAGAGCTAATTGTAAAAAAATTTTCTTCCCAGCCAGCTCTACTCCCACGAAAAGATTCAGAAAATGTATAAATTTTATAGCATAAAATACTTTACTGTACAGCAAATTGTTTAGTTTGATGTAAAAATTGCCAGTTTTAAGCAAAAAAATGAAACCCAAAAAGTATTACAGTATTGAATAAATATTGTAATTCATTTGACTAATATATCAAAATTTATTTATTTATTTTACATATTATTGGAACTTCAGTTGACAAAAGATTTCCACCCCCGAATAACAAATTGTTTTATAACAAATTAAAATTATATTAATCAAATGGAACGACACTGTTTGATAAGTTTATTAAAGCACAACAAATTGTGACAATTTTTTCAATTGTTTGTTACAGAATCTTTAGTTCTAACTGTAAGCAGTTCAATTGGTAGTGTAATGAATCATAATAAATTAAAATTAAATTTGAAAAAATATGAGTTAGATGACAATATCGAGGTCGACATTCATTCATTCATTTTAATTTATTAGGTACAGTATTATGTACATTTCCTGGCCCCGCTGTAGAGCATTACCAGGAAAAATTTTACAATAAGTGAATATATAGTATACTTAAGATTGACAGAATATCATAAAATAATAATAAGATAAACTTAAAACTAAAATAACAAAGAAAACAAATATTAAAACAAACAGTAAAGTTTACAAACATATAAATTACATCGAGGTCGACAACCAAACCAACAGCAACCAATATGGCGCGCGCTTCGTAAGCGGAGTCGTGTGACGTTAGGTGCACTCCCTCTATTGGAAATACTCCCCGTAAAATATACGGCAAACTTAAATAATCGAGCAAATAAATTTCAGTGTTGGGTGTTAGTCTCAGACACATTACGCGGTGTATTTTACCTTCCCGGCTATTGTATGTAACATTATACCACAAGATATTAACTTGAATAGTCTACTGTATATCTTATTGTAAATGCTGTATGTTATTATGCTACTGTTTATTGTGTTATGTAAAACTGTATTTATATTATTTTGCTTTGTATTCAATTGACTATAATGTTTTGTGTGCTATTGATTTGTACTGTTAATATGTAAATAATTCCTATGTATACTTATCTGGTAATGCACCTAGCGGGGCCAGATATGTGTGTATGCACTTTAAATAAAGACTGACTGACTGTATGTAACAGTATTCCTAACTATAAAAATATCTTACAAAAGGGAATAAAACAAACTAAAATTATAGACGAACCACCTCTACCTGCATATACTGTATTAGTATATAGTGATAATAATAGAGCCACTTCTAATGAAACGAAAAGTACTTTAACTAATAACGTGAGACCTGATAAGCTTGGCGTAGGCATACGTCGAATAAGGAAAATTAGGAATGGTGGAATTGCAGTCGTTTTAAACCATAAGAATGAGGTAAACTACTTTAAAGAGAATGTCGAACAAATTCCAGGTTTAGTATCGCGTTTGCCAAAAAAGAGACTACCATTAGTCAAAATTACTTCCGTTCCGAAAACCATTAATGAAGAGGTTCTTGCATTAGACATTTTTGAGCAAAACCCGTACATTTTCCCACCTATACTGAACGTAAACATAAGGTTTCCGCTTAACAAAAAACTGAAAATCATATTTCCTGGATTCTTGAAGTATCTCCACAAATTAGACAGAATATGATAAAAGCAGGAAAAATCCATCTTCTTTGGACAACCTGTCCTGTCTTTGACTTTCTACCTATAACACTGTGCTATCGCTGTTTATCATTTGGACACTTTACGAAAAATTGTTCTTTAAAAGAAAATGTGTGTAGCATTGTAACGGAAATCATTTATATAAAGATTGTCAAAACAAACATGACTCGCCGAAGTGTGCTAACTGCTTAAGAGAAAACAGAGTATAGAATTGTCACAACACAATTGCCCAGTGTATCTAAGAGAAAAAACTAAATTCCAACAAAGAACCGACTACGTAATACGATGATCTGCCAGGCTACTTCACAACTCGAGAATTAACCGGTGTCTGGAGATTGTGATCTGACATTTGTATTTTGGAACTGTAAAATGAATATCGCTGTATAATATTTACTTATTGTATAATTTTAATTTACGATCTTAGTTGTTTCTAATAATTGTTACCAAGGACCGTAAATTGTGTCATAAATTGTATGCGCTTAGCATACTTTGAATTTCCTTTATTGTTTGTACTTTGGTGTCAACGACACACTTTTAGCGTCAAGTATTTCCCACTGATTGGCAAGTTGCTGATTATTGTACTTATTTATTGTCTTATATATTGTATAATCGAGTACAGTGAAAACTGCTTAGGCGACCACCTGCATTCGAAGGGCACCTGTCAAAACGGGCAAAAATTTCTGGCACGGAATAGTTTATCCATAGAGTCTTTGTATAAGTTATCTGTATTAAACGACCACCCGTGTAACGCGACCGCGGGCATCGATTTTTGGTCCGAAGCAATATACAACACCTGTAATAAGCGACCACTTTCGCCAATGTATCTGGTCAAAACTATTGTAAGAACCCATCTCAACAACGTTTCCACCTCCTAATATAATGAATTAGTCTAAACTCTCGTTCGAACCCATCCCGGGCACTTTTCCCACCCTCGAAATTAGGTACAGGTGCTAATAAATTAGTCTAGCAACAAAGAAAATTCATTTCAGTTTGTTGGAAAATGTCCGACTGTCGTTAGAAGATCGTATTAAAGTTATCACAACAGCAATTAGCGGCGAAGTTTAACTGTGGAAAAATAAAATTTAATTTACCCTAGACCTACAGTACTTTCCTTGGGGGTGTAAAATATTGTACCCGATACAATTAATCGGCTGATCTCATCGTTTGATAAAATCTATTTTTATTTATTTATTTTGAAGCTCATACAGTACACGATAAATAGTTTCTGTATCAACCTACCTTATTTCCACGATATTTTTAGAAAAATAATATCCAAGTAATTTTCGCAGGCAAAATATTCAAAAAACAATAAACGCATTAATGCAAAAATCAGTTTTACTTCCTTTTTCGATTCCGCGATTGTAATGAAATCGTACAACGAGAAAAAATAATAAAATCATTTTATTATTAATTAATAATTTTTCTTATTGTACTTAATTAATTAAGAAAATATTAAATATTAAAAAAATACAGTATTTTTAAAGTTAAAATAAGATTAAACTAACGAAAACCAAAAGCAAAGTGATGGAGAGATAGGACGCGCTTGTATATTGATGACGTAATACACGTAACTGAGGAGCGAACGAAAAGAACCGAGTCGAATTAATTAAGTCGGAAAAAAGAAAGTGTGCATTATAATCGAGACAATGCGAGTATTGTATTAATCTTTAAAATATTGGTGTTAAATCTGTCTTATAATATCATGACGACTCCTGTAAATAGGGTTATCCGATAAGAATAAAATACAATACCAATATAAAAATTCGCTTATTTTTGCTCACCTCGAGTTTTGCTTAGTAGATATGGCTAAAAAGAGCGCAAGATACGTACGGAAATACGGTATTACAGCACCACCTGTATTGGATGATCACTTGTCTAAAGGACCACTTTTTGAAGGAACCGTGGGTGGTCGCCATAGACAGGTTTTACCGTATATATATATTTGATAATAATGGTGAACTTTATATGTTTTTCAATACTAACAGCAACTTGTTACGAATTTGTATATAGTTGTATATAGATCAGCTAACTTGATTTTCATGTTATTTATGTACTATTTTATGTATTTTATTTCTTACGTTCTTTTAATTCTTCATCGTTAGAGTTATGTGTACGACATATAAACCTGAGCATTGTAATTTCTTTGTGTGCAACCTACCGGGTAATGCACCAAAGCGGAGCCGGTCTGTATATATATATATACAATAAAATAATGAATAAATGAATGAATGTATGTACGTACCAGAGGGAAAGTACGGACATTGGAGAAATGACCCCAAGATTTTCAAGTTTTCGGACTCGGATTACCCCGAAACGTCGAGAAAGGCGAAAAAGTTGGGTTTTTTTTTGTGTGTATGAATGTTAATTAATGAGTATGTGTATGGCACGATTTTGTTCACCACTTCGAAGCTTAATAACTCCCGTACGTTTTGTCGAAAATTTTCTGAAAGTTTGTAGGAAGGTTTGCGTATTAAGGGCATATTAGAATTTGGTTAAAGGTCAAGAGAGTGGGAGATAGAGGAGTCTCGTGTCATATCTCCAGTAGAGTTAGACTTATTGAAGATTTTATTCGTTATTAGAATTTAAATTTTTTATAAAACTCGCCCCTGCCCTCAAAATTAAGTATTTTAACCATTTTATAACAGTTCATAATATAAAAACTGTTTCTTTTTTATAAACGCTGGTAACAGATGGTTCACACGCAATTTGAAGCGCTTTCACCGGGAAAATTACGTAACTCTGCTGGATTTTTAAAAAATATTTTTGTGGTTTGGAAACGTCGTAGATGAAGGCGCTCTTTTTTTCGAAAAATAAGAAAAATCGAAAGTTAATTAAATGTTATAATTTAGTTTATTACAAAGAAAAAAGTACAAGAAATTATTTTGCAGTTTTTTTATCTTGTATTTCGCGCCCGCACAAAAGCGACAGGAGGGAATAACGACCGGCGGGAAGCGTACTGCGAGAAGAAAAAGTAATTATTGAAGTAGAAAAATATTCCATTGTATACAATCGTAGGAAAAAGCATTGTAAAAATATTGATATTTGACGTGTCCGCAGCGGAACACAGGGCGTTTCCTTGACGTAACGTAAGTGCTCGTCTGAACGTAAGTTTACGGTTTATTTTTCCGGTTAAGTTAAGTTCTTCGTACCCAAAAACCTCTTCGGTTTTCAGATTTAACACGGAAAATCGTTGCTTTTTTCGTTTAGACAGGTTTCCTTTTCAGAGGATTCTACCGTATCATTTAAAATTCAAGTTAATCGCAGATAAAAAAACAGAGAAAATTTTTCCATTTTAATTTAATTGTTATAAAATAGTTTAGTTTACTTGTTACTTAAATTTGAAAATTTATTTTAAATTAATTGCGTACTTGGCAGTTCGGATTTCTTTCTCGAGGAGTTCCTTTAAACTGATATTTTATAAAGAATTGTGCTAATTTAATTTTGGGCAAATTTGTCAGCGAAAGTTAAGAATTTTTAAGAAGTTATATTGTCAACGTAATGATTTATAAAAAAAGGCGGATAAGGGAAAAACGAAATCGGTAGTTTTAGATTTTTAGTTTTATTGTTTTTAAGCTGACACCAACAATGTGATGATTTCCATTTCTTCCTATTAATGATACCTCGACACGCGACTATATCTATGGTCTTGATTTCGGAGTGAAAGAAATTCTTTACGATACTTTACGAAGGGAGGATATTTGGAAGAAGGCTTACCTGGGAAATGTAAATCAAAAGGAACTTCATGAGAGTCGCGCGCTGAAACTCGTTACGAAGGGATAATCTGATTCCCCAGTTTTTATATTGGCCTTCGTCGCTATCGAAAATTAAACAGAATGAATCATCCGAAAAATCGGCAATCGATTTTTTTCGTAGGTTAGGTCGATCCACGTAGCCATGGCTAATAAGACGGTGTTACGTATTGGTGAGGACAAATGTGTGAATCGAATACCGTCAATTATTCGCAAATTAGAACGATTCTTCGACTCGTTATTCGAGTTCCGTTAATTAAGTTTGACTTTATTTAAATCAGGAAACTAGCGTGGTGTCCATCCGAAATGCCTGGCATCGTTCTTTAGAATATTTTAATTCTGTTACGTCGGAATCTATATCGAAATAAAATTAAATTCTGTTTTAGAAGAACTTTTAATTTAAAACAATTAAATTTTCATCAAAAATTTGTTCGAAATGTTTTCTGATCGAGAGTTGCAAAATAATTTTAAAGGCGATTCCTTTTTGCAGTTTGACATTAACGTAAAAAATAAAACTCATTATCTCGCTCGATAACCTTCGGTATACTCGTAATTTGGTCGAGGTTTCGGCGGATCGCCCACGAGAGTTTCCTAATTAAGATGTCGTGGCCGAGCCATCCACTTCCCTATCCAGCGAATTAAAAGGTACGAGTATTAATAATTAGGCTTCTTCATCGAAGGGTTGCTGGCTTTAGAAACTTTCTTTGGTCCCACAATAGAGCTAAAATAAACAGAAATCGATAGAATTGTTTGGTTAGATGCACGTCACACAACGAGAAACAACGCCACAATGAGGATAGCCCTTTGTTTTCGCAAAATTAGCAGCGAGGTCTCGATATCCGAGACAAATTTTTCGTGGAAAAAATCGACGAAAACCGAGGTATTACTGTATAAGACATCCGGTATAAAGTAAGGATTGGGATTCGAATTTAATCCTAAGTATTACTCGAGTGGAATCTTCCCGAAATATACAAAGTTGTGGCGAATCGCGTTATTTATTTACTTCCGCCTTTTAATATCAGTTTAGTTAATGTATAACACTGACTTCTTACAATAAAATTAACAGTTGTTATTTCATAGTTTAGAACAAATAAAAACTTTTAATTAATGAGGTCGCGTGTCTACGTTATATTTTACAGCAAATTTTGTATTATTCGGCATAAAAATAAAAGAAATACGTCAAAAACGAGAGCCTCCACTACTTTGCACACTATTTTTGTGGCGTTCTCTCTCGAACCGGGATACACAACTTGTACAGGTGTTTCGAACATCTGTATAATTTCAATTTTACGATAATTAATTATCGATAAGTACATTTAATGTTACGCGCAAATATCGGTTAACGAAATATTTGTATTGGCATTCGTCGCGGTCTTATATTAATTTTAGGACCGCCAGAGCACGATGTTAACTCGCCAATCTATTAAAAACAGAGGCGGTAGCCGGTTATAAACAAAAGTCTGCCAAAAAATTCTATCAAAGACGTGAAAATTAATAAAACGATAATACAAGTAAAACCTGCATTGAATTTTGTTATCTGATATTGCTGGACAAGAATTAATTTTATCTAAACTAAAATAATTATTTACCGGTGATAACATTGTTTATTTTGTAAATAAATGATGTTATCGCCAATATTTTGTGGAAATGACTAAATACAAAAGTTGCTAACGAGCTAAAGAAATACTCTATTCAAATAGCGTTTGACGTTGGTTAAGAATTCCGCGATAAGAAGAAAGAACTGGTCGAAAGAATTAGTTTGATTCGTCCGCAGCCGTAAAACTATAAAACAAGAAAGAAAGAAAACAATTTAAACTCGGTGACGTAAGAGGAAACAATTTATAATAGGAAACAGTTCCGAAAACGTCATAAATCGGGATCTTCCATCCCAAAATCACGTTTATGATATTTTTCATCGATATGAAAAACTAATAGAAATTTAGCAAAATTAATATACAGCGAATCATAAGGCGATCCCGTTGTCCCGGTAACGAACCAATCCGCAAACGTTCTCGTCTCCCCCACACAGATTTACCGGATGAAAATTATAGAATGCAAATTATTCCAAAAAGATTTGGTTGAATACGCTAGACGCAAAGAGAAATAATTTAAGGAAATCAACCTCTATAAGAAACTTAAAAACTTTTCAAACCAGACAATACATTAAAAAGGCCTCCATCTCGTTCAATCCCGAAGTGTGTAGAAAGGACAAGAAGACACTTTTAATGTATTGTCTCGTTTGAAAAATGTTTCTACTTATTGTCTCGGACATTTTGCCAAATACTCTACGAGAAAGTTAATCGCTGCATTTTTCAGACTTATTTAATGCGGAAACCACCAGACATCTTCTAATCTAGCCCAGCGGTTCCCAACTTATTTTTATCGCGGACGACAGTTTAAACTTTTTTAGGACTTTTCCTTTGGTAAAGATAAGTTTGGCGCTCGGAAGCGGTACCCGCAAGATTTTTACCCGTATTATCGTTTTCTACATTTCGCCTCCAAGCGCCAAGCTTATTTTTTCCAAAGGAAAACTCCTAAAAAAAAAGTTTTGACTGAGTCGGTATAAATTTTTACACGGCGAAATTTTTTTACATCTCCATATTTTTATTTGAATTATTTTTCATAAAAATTACTTTATACTTCGGTACAGGTTCGGAACAGGCTTCTGCGTAAGTAATATGCTATTTATAATTTCAACAACAGGCTGTTCTAATTTTTAAATTTTGGATTGCAAAGAATAAAACAGTCTTATAAAAGATTTTAAATTAATATCTAGCACGAATATATTTTTTAAAATAGTATATATAAAAATTGGGTTTTAAACGCGAAAAGAGAAGATTCACTGAAACGTGACTGCATTTATCTGTCAAAAAATATGGCAAATTTTGGACACGTTCATAAATGAAAAGTAAATTCCCTGACAGGCCTGTATTGATATGTGAAACACGTGGTGATGCCAGTGTCCCTATGCCTAAAGATTTTCTTTTAAAATATTTCATTAGACTCAGAATTTACTATTGCTTAAAGATTTTTAATAACAAAAACAAATAAAGAAAATAAACATAAAATTTTTTAATATAAATAAATCGTTATAGATCGTTTATAACGAAACTTTTGTATAAATAAAATGTGTGTGTACGTTTATAACGATGGAATTTAAATAAATTACAAAAGTTTCGATACTTTTCAATAATAATAAATCAAAATATTTTATACATTGAATTGAATCGTTTCTTTTACATTGTCTAAAAATATTTAGAACATGAAATTGTAAATATTAAAAACGCTCAGAAAATGTAAGCATGATTTGCATACTACTGTATACTACTAAAGTATGCAGTAGTATACTACTGTATACTACTGCATACTTTATTAGTTTAGTCTTTTTGATGAAAGCATTAAGAAGAAATTAATAACTTTTATGTAAATCTGAGTAAAACTAACTGTTCAAAAAACTACACTTTACCAACCTTTAACACGCAGTCTATTTTATTAACGTAATCTAACGTTTTCGGTCAATTAATTGACCTCCATCAGTACTACATTGGAGCTACAAGAAGGTCATTAAAAGAAAGAATAAAAGAGCGCGAAACGAACGTACGGATTGAGCAACCAGTCACTGCTTTAGAGAGACATGTTATAGCAGACCCAACAGAGGTTTCGGTGAAATGGGAAAGAGCAGAAATAATACATAAGGTTCGAGACAAGAGACATTAAATATGCAGAAGCCTGGTATATTCGCGAGAGCAGTCTAGCGGGACAGGCTATAAAATTCAGAGAATCGTAATATAAAGTCTCCGCAGCATGGAGAGCGGGTGCATTTCGAACACATCAGGGAAAGAAAAAAGCGCGGACAGATAAAATAGTCGAAGCCCGTTACATCATCACTTGTTTATTTATCTATTCACTTCTCTATTTCTTTATTATTATTAATTTTAACTTTTACTTTTATGTGTATAATTAGTGTACGCGTATATTTGTACATTTTCAGTCTGTAGATTCTATTTATCTATTTTCGGACTGGCGCAATAGGCGTCGAGAAAACTTTTAAAGTTAAAAACGTTCTATAATCGGTTTCGTTCGTCATAAATCGAAAAATTATTTGATCCTGACGAAGGTCAATTAATTGACCAAAAATGTTAGATTACGTTAATAAAGTAGACTGCGTGTTAAAGGTTGGTAAAGTGTAGTAATTTTTGAAAGCGCAGTTCGACAAGTGTGTTCAAAAAACGTCAGCGATGTTGATTTTAAACATATTCAACATTTAATTAAATAAAATATAGCGCTACGAAAATACAGTGAAAAAGACTCCTTTTGTAAGTGTTTTTGGAGTGTTGATTCTAATTTGGCCTACTTAATTTAAACATTAGGCTCTGCCCGCTGCTTGTCGGCGCGACATCACAAGCTGCGACAACGAGCGCTAATACTCTATAGTTTACTCTGGCTCTACTTCGTACCCTAATAGTTTTTCTGGCAGTGGAGTTTCCGTGATTTTATTCCAGTTTCATCCTGTTTTTTAACACTGTGGCGTATTCTTCCCCTTAATGCTCACACCTAAACTGTGTCACACACTAATTTAATTTTTAACGATGTTAGCAATTCAATACTTTATTTTTAAATCTTAAACAATAAATTTTATTAGGACAAAGATACACGATCTTTACAGATTACACTTTATATCATTTCTTTTTCTTAACAAAAATATTTGAGACAAACAATGAAGCGGCAGCAACCAAAGACGAAAACTCTTCAAAATATTTTTATTTCTGAATGATAGAAAGGAATTTCAACAGTTTTGTATTCAAAGTCTTGCGCAAAGTCTTTATACAATCTGTTCTATAGGAAATAATCTATAAAATACTTGAGATGAATTATTATGCAGATTATGTATTTCATATTGCGCGAAATGTTTTCAATAGAAAAAATTATTAATTGTTAAATCTTAAATAAATTGTCTCCTAATACATTTTGTAGATTCTTGTTATCCGTTATAGAACAGAATTATTAATATTTAAAATGCACGGAGATTTAGTAACGGCCCTTCAGTTTAATCTTATAATTAAAATGTGTTAAATTTTAGAAGAAAAAAAAATTATAAATGAATTTAAAATTAAAAATCTTTTCAGAAATAGAAATAATGTTGCATATATTTTGAAAATTCTTTTCCATACGTATGTTATGGACTAAGTGATTAATGCGGGAAGGATTCGTAATGGCCGGGCATTATGAATAATAACAAACAAAATCGAGCGTTGTAATAAATTTCGGGGTTTTTTTTAATCATAATTTATCAGATTGACCGGTCACTAACGAATATTGCTATCACCCGGGGACCTATTCTGAGCTCTTCCGATAACTCAACGAGAGCGATACGCGGGACATTCGACAAGTCTCTTTAGCGAAAGGCAGTTAACGAACCTTAGATAAATCGCTATTCCACGCTCCACGTTAAGCGGGTTTCGCTACGGGTAGTCGGTCGAGACGCGTGTGGATTCCACGCTATCGATAGCTATTACGCCTTAACAGTTTAGTTAACATTGTATTTTTGTCACGCGACTGCAACTCGCCATTTTCTAAGCGAAGCGCGAAGTTTTAGCATTGTAGCGTAGCAGCGCTAGTTTTGTTTTAAAATGTCGAAGAAAGGTCAACGAAGCCAGCGAACTGAGTCGCCAGTTGGAGATGCTCGTCAATTTCATGGAAGACGGCCCTACATTAATGTCGGAGAAGTTAGACGCTTCCTTTACCGTAAAAGGTGGCAAGAAATAGCCGACCGTCCGAATTCCGACGGAGTCGGCTCAGAAAAAGACCCAGAAAGATGGCGAAAAGTAACCGATAGCTTTGAATATAAATATCATTTTAATTTATACATGCGCGAATGAAACCTATTTCGGAAATAATGTTCACGCTATAGCTACTTACTTTAAATTTTAACAAGAAAGCAATTACATGATTCATACAATATTCATAAATAGTTAAAGTAATTACTGTACAGTATTTTTAAGCGATACAACAACGTAGTTTATTAACTCTGTCTCCAATTGCTGGTGAAGTAAAATCGTTCTTACACCAAAAGGCGCCGCGTTGGCGACGTAACTTTCGTTACGTCGCTAACGGTAGTTGGAGAACGATCGATAACAAAAGCTTAGTTATCGCGCGTGGCTATCGGAACCGAAAACGAAACATACGGGTCGCAATAGCATTTTCGCGGTTGATTAAACGCCAGTCACGTGGTTCCGATAGAAACTGGTTTTTATCGTATTCGTTAGCTTAACGACACTACTCGGAATAGGTCCCCCGGTGGGCAAACTGATAATACTTTGAAGAGTGATCATTCGACGGGTGCTAGCCAATCGGCACTTTGTGTCCGAGTTGCATTTATTATTCAATTTTAAATTCGTGTGGCCAATAAGTAAACTCGAACAACATTTTAACTTTATTTTTACCTCTTAAAATAGTGTTTTCTTCTGTGAGAGTCGAACTTATTGGAATAAATTGTTAAATATATTTTTTTTTTGGTAAGAGGAAGTTTAGAGAAATAAACAACAAACCGATATTTAAAAAAGAACATTAAATTCTTTTCCTACGAACTTAATTCCTGGTTGAAGATGATACATCCAATGTGTCACCCCGAATCTACGAAAAGACGAAAGAAAACAACTATTAGTGGCGAAAAACAGTCCTAATAAGGCAGTGGCAAAAACCCAACGATCCCCCTTTATAAAAAGGAGGGGTCGATGCGTAAGAGTCAATCTCCGGAGTTTGGTGTGAACTGTGATTTACGTGAACGGATTAGCCGTTACGGAACTATTCTAATCGCCGCCGTTCGGGAGAATCACCGCCTAAAGAAGTATCAACGTTCGAAAGAACTTTGTGCCACATAGACTCGACGACTAAACGACTATTCGACAACTTATATGAAGGTATTTATCCTCGCGCGAAATACATGCGAGTTCTCTCTCATTAAGACTAAGAAGTTTTTAAGCAGCATAAAAATTTTAATAATGATATACAACAGAACTGTTTAATCTATATATATAAAAATGAATGTATGTGTCTCTGTCCTTCATGCATTACCACACCGTATATCCGACTGCCATGAAACTTTGGAAAGTTTTTAATACTCCCGCGAAGTACATTTATCCTACGATAGATGGCGCGCGTGTATACGAGCACTGTGTGTTCGATCGATTTCAAATTGTGAAGACCCTTTCCCCCTCCAAAACTATCTCTATATGTGCATTTGTTATTTACGATATTTGTAATAATTTTTGTTTAATCACTTTATTTCAACTTTTTTTTGGTAATTACGTATTCGCTCGAACTTTGTTAAAACATTAACAGTATCCCGAACAACGACCGAAGTCGTAGGAGGAAATACGCTTATTTTACCGATCTAGGGATCCCCCTTTTCCAAATTTTAATATCGACTCGAAATAATTTAAAAAGACAAATTACAATAAAACGGTTTATTATCCGACTATCAGAAATTTCACAACGTGCCAAGAGAGAAAGGAGGGCTTAAATAATCAAAATTATAAAGGATTTAAATATATATATATATATAAATGGGGAATATTGCGCTTCTAACAATCTCTGCGAGTATGTGGGCTAAATTTAAAGAATCCGTGCTTCTCGCATGTACAACTATATGTGGCCGGCTCACGCGTCGGAAAACCTGATTTATTCGCGTACGCACCAGAAAAAGAAAAAATATCGTGTATCCACAAGCGCTCCAACAAACAAATAGAATTGAAACTTTGAAATGTTTTCCGATGAAAATGAATAATAGTAATAAGTTTCAATAAAAATGATAAAATGTAAATTGAATTTTATCATAACGAGTTTGCTTGAATTTCGTTTCTTCTGAGATCGCAGCAATGCGCGACGGGTAAGGTAGTTATAAATAAATAAATGGTAAACGCGTGGTGAAGGACGATCCGGACTTGTCCGAGACAGACCGCTCTGGTAATAAACCCTTCCGGATTTGATCCGGGTCCTTTAAAGTGATGTGCAGACGGCCTAACCACCTCTGCCGTCGGATTGGCTATAATTAATTATAACGACGTTAATTACAATAAATAAATCTTCGAATTATACATTTTTTTATTGTTTGAACCTATTCTTTTAATCTCTGAGTTAATAAAACTAGAATTTCCATTAATTGTAATCTTATTTAACTATACCACTCTATATTACTGTATCAGTCTTTTATCATCAGAACACACTATTCACAAAGTAATTCTAACAAACAAGTTGTGCTGCATTTCTAAAGTTTAGTTCTCTATAAATTCTTTTATTTACATCACTGAAAAAATAAGTACTTATAACTACAGTATAAGCAACTTTATAAATAAATGGATTAATGGACGTGTTGTAACTTTACCTGATCTACAGGTCTCACTGTCCTTCAATTCATCTAATTAACTGGTAATGTATAAAAGTGTAACTGTATCATATAAAAAATTTTTTTCTTTTAATTTTAATACATTGTTTTAATAAAAATATTTCATTCTTTAAATAATTTTTATAACATAAATTGCAATAATGCTTTGTCGATAGAATGTTCATTAAATAAACGTAGGAACATACCAAAGCTATTTTCTCACACTTTAGACATAGACGAATAAAATTAATAAGATTTATTAATGGAATAACGTGACTGACTTAGCTTCTCCTTTTTTGCTTGTCGCTGATGATAGAGCTGTAATAAAAATTTCTATTAAAATCATATCATGCATAGAATATCATAAATAGAATTGTTACATCTAGACTAAATCATAAAAACATTTGAAACAATATCTGATAAATAAATAAATAGAAGTTGAAAAGTAAGCCATTGTTTCAGTGATCTGAGTGATATTAATTGCAGAATATATAATCTACATTAGACAACTATTTAGTGTATTAATGAGAGATTTGTCTTAACCCTGGAGTTGGTAAGTAGCCCATGTACGTTTCAACGTTCACCGTTCCTGTAATATCTCGAGTTAAAGCTTGTGCTTTAGCTTGAGTTAGCTTTCTGATCTTTTAAAAATTTGAGCATTTCAAGCATTAATATGTAGGACTGTAAAAGTGACATCATGGCAGAAAGATTTGTGTCAAGAGATGGGGTGATTTGTATGATTGCATAACTGTATGGATTGAGAGAAGGGAAGTAGAGAGATTAATAAAAACTATACACACACAAAAAAAAGAACAATGTGAATGGGTGCCCATTTACCCACAGACTGATGCCACAAAAATGTATGTTGTCAACAACTTCCAAGGAGTGTTTGGATGAATATTCACATATAGATGCAGAAGTAGAAAAAATATGCTAAAACAGAAGGCTGCAGATGTGACACAGCTGTCAAACAGTTTTATCAGGCCAACATACAGATCCAAGGTCTCCAATATCTCTGAAACCTTAGATCTGAGTATTGACCTCTATCAACAGCTGAGCCAAGACAGACCTTTCAGGCTTCCAACTTACCCATCTGAGGCTTGTTGAAAAACTCAGAAATGCAGGAAAATGAGCACAAAGTTTTTTTACAGGACAATGCCCATCTCCACACAAGCAAAATCATGACCAAAATGGTAGAAAACCTTGGTCTTCATGTTACCTCACTCCCTAATTTCCCTGATTTTGCATCAAATAGTTTACTTTTTTGACAAGATGAAATACATTTTGTATGGGCAAAATCTTACAGACTGAGCTTGTCCATATATTAGAGGTTGTGGCCGACGTTTTCAAGGCAAAACGTGAATGTCGGACATTCGGCGCTGCCTTCCTGTAAGCCTAGAAGTTTGACAATGGCATTTGGAACATCGAGCATGATTCCACTGACGTTCCAAATGCCATTGTCAAACTTCTAGGCTTACAGGAAGGCGGCGCTGTAAATCTGACTAGATTTGCATCAGGGAAATTAATACAATGTCCTCCTTTGGCTTTTCTGACGTTCATGTTTTTGTGATCAAAATGTTGGTTGCAACCTCTCTAATATCCTAAAACATTGGTTTGCTGAGGCAATAAGAAAATTACCCATGAGATGGGAAAAAATATATTGATGTTAATGGAGACTACATCAAACAGGCAGAAGTGTAAGTTTACCTAATAACTGAGCATAGTCTCAATTATTTCTAAATATGCTCATAGCAGATTTGCATCAAGGAAATTAATACAATGTCCTCCTTTGGCTTCTACTTTATCTTCTGCATATTTGACCAGGAATATCCTAGCTAAATATGCAGAGATATTACATTATGTCATACACAAATATTCTTAAAAGATTTATATTAAAATGTTAATTTTTAGGAAAATTTTCTTGTTATGTCTATTGTCATCAAGCACAATACTTTAAATTCCAATACTAAAATATATATTTTTTCAAATAATTCAAGCAATGGCATATTAGACTAACACCACCTTTTAAAAAACAGGCATAAATATAACTTTATTCTAATCTGACAGAAAACTATTGGTTTTTATAACAGGGATAAAAATTTATTCACATAAAAAAATTCTACAACTTTAAATATTTCAAGAATTTCATTGTGTTCTGAAAATGAATCCAAATTATGAGCGATGTTTTTCTTTGTTTTCTAATTTTCTTTCTTTTTTTAATCTCAAAGATAGAAGTTTATTGTATATGCTCTTTTGTTAAGAAATTTTTAACCCGTGTTTTGTTTCTATATCTACAAAGATAATACCTATACATCTAGTAATTGCTATTTCTTTTTAATCTTTAATTCTTTACACTTTATAAGAACTAACAGAATGTTCTTCATTATTCCCATCCTAAGTTCAAATTTTAGATTCTAAAAGCACTTGTATAAGTAAATATTTGTATAAGGGGGATAATTTTTGGTTGATGGCCATATTTTCAATGTTATATAATGGGTGGGCATGCAAGAGTTCAGTGAGAGCTGAAATGTAGGTTTTGCAAAATGCATTGGAGCCGCAGTTCTGTACTTTTTTATTTTGTACTGCAGTTCTGTACCGTGATTTTATTATATAATATAAATGTAATATAAAACAAATATTGAATTTTTTAATAAACATATTTTCACAAAATTGTGGAAATAAAATTGTAAAAATAATAATAAAAAGCAGAAAATAACCACTTAATAAAACCAATAACCGGTATTAAATAATCGTAAAATGAACTGCAAACGTTTTTGGTTCCTTCCCTAGGACCTTTCTCAAGCAGCGATTCGTCTTTAGAATAAATATGAACGAAGACCAGTAAATAGCGATATTCGAAAAATTATTCTTCCGAACAACATTTCAAAAGTCAAAATTCAACGTTAATGTGAATCACGTGCATTCCCGAATTCCGTAAATAAATATAATAAAAAATAAAAATGTTCGGTATAAAAAATTCCGATGCACGATGTTTATATCCTATTTATGAAATGCATTATTAATGCGTATCTTCTTTCTGTAGTAGGGCCTGCCATGCAAGGGATAGGGTAATTTCATCCCTCGAGTTAATAGGTTCAGACGTGTTGTATGCCTTGCAGATCTCCATTTGTTCCAACCATTTGATGTGATCCGTAAATTTAGTGGTAATGAGGAGTTTGGCGTTATCAAAGTCTACCGAAATTTCCGGGTCCGAAGCATACGTGGATAACGAAGTAGTAGCCCTGTTGTGAATGATGTCACTTCTGTGTTCCGCCCATCGGACACCAATCGAACGCTTAGTAGCACCAATGTAGATAAGTTGTCTCTCAAATCTGTGGTCCACGAGGGGAACAGCGTATACCCCTGGCAGCTTATCCTCCTTAGGTTTATCTTTTTCATTGCGTAAAAGCTTAAACATAGACGGACATCTTCTGAACGACAGTCGTAATCCTTGTTTTTTAGCGATTTTTTGGTATAAGGATACGAGGAAGGGGTTGTATGTGACTATTGTGAT